TAGAAAATAGGTGTAATATCGAAATTCCAAAAGAGGAAACATGTTTTAAAGATATCCTGTTTTCTTATGTAAAACTGTATTTAAACTTTCAAAAAGTTTCTTCAATGTGTGTTTAGGCTTCATCGATACTGTATTGCGAATGCATCAATAGTCAATTATTCAATTGATTGAATAATGCTTTTGTATCATCGGCACACCTTTTTAGTGTAACCTTACAACGACTAGACGATAATTAATTAATTAATTAATATAATATAGAGAAAACACAAAATAAAAAAATTAAAAAATGTTCTCTCTCTTATAAAGTATAATGAAAATAACCTGATGGGAAAAAAAGAACAATGCATCGAAAAAAAATGGGGAGGGGGGAATAGACTGGGGAATAACTCTCTAGGTAGAAAAAAAATCCGTGGGGAAAATTAGCAGGTGGCTCAGGTGACAAGTAACCACCGTAATCTTCTTGGATCTTCCTTTCGAGTGAATTATACTGTAGTCTTGCAGCCCAGGTACCAGTTCAAATCGCGACGACGGGAAACCACTAACCCGTAAAAATCACATACACTATTATCTTTGGAAATGCCCAGTCCCTGTGTAATAAACTTGATCAATTGGAAGCATGTATGGCAGTACAAGATTTTAGAGAGTCTAGTCTACTGTGCTTCACGGAAACGTGGTTTAAAGATAAGCATACCAATGCAAGTGTTAGTATTGATGGGTTCTCATGCCAACGTGGAGATAGAGATTTGGAGGCTCTAGGGAAGTATGGAGGCGGAGGTGTCTGCGCATACATAAATCAACGTTGGTGTAAAAATATCAAGGTTGTTGAAAAACATTGTTGTAAAGACGTTGAATTTATTGTGCTAGCATTACGACCTTTTTACTTGCCTAGAGAGATACCACAGATCTTTGTGACAGTTGCATATATACAACAAGAAGGCAGTCGCATAGACGCGGGAAAAAAATTGCAGAGAGGATGAGACTACTTGAGAGTGAGTCACCAGATGCGCTGAAGTTGGTGTTAGGCGACTTCAATCACTGCAAGTTGAAAAAATCATTACCTCACTGGCATCAATACGTGAATGTCCACACAAGGAAAGATACAATATTGGATGAATGCTACGGGAACTTACCAGATGCTTACCTGTCGAAAGCAAGAAATGGAATCGGGAAATCTGATCACCATCTTATCCAGTTACTGCCGAAGTATAAACAGAAATTAAGAAAACATAAAATTATTACTAAACCTATTAAAATGTGGTCGGAGGATGCTATTAGCAAACTTAGGGATTGTTTTGAAAGAACTGACTGGGAGATAATTAAGAACAGTTCACTTGATGATACAGTAGAACGATGTTCTGCATATATAAAGTTTTGTGAAGATTCCATTGTACCAACTAAAAATGTTAAAATATATGCAAATAATAAACCATGGGTTTCTAAGGAGTTAAGATTATTAATGAGAGAAAAATATTCGAAGTTTAGAAAGGGCGAATTTGAGGCTAGTAAACATCTCCAGCGGGAAGTGAAACGTGTAATTAGGAGAGATAAGCGTAATTACGCAAAACACATAGAAGAAAAATTTGAGTCTGGGGACATTACAAATGTGTGGAAAGGAATGAATAATGTAACTGGAAACTTTAAAATTGCATCAAATGTTGAAGATACTGATATTACGGCGAATGATTTAAATTCTTTTTATGTTAGGTTCGATAAGTGGGATTTTTAGGAGTTTCGAAACATTCAGAAGGAAAGACTCACAGGTTCAATAACAGAAGAAAATAATATTTCAATTAACATAAGTGATGTTGAGAAGGCATTTAGAAATGTTAAGTCTAAGAAAGCAGCAGGGCCTGATCTTATTTCAGGAAAAGTTTTGAAGACATGATATTTTCAATTAAAGTTTATTTTTCATTTTTTATTTCAATGGTCAGTCGATTTGTGTCGAGTACCCAAACTTTGGAAGTCTGCCATTATCAAACCGATACCAAAACATGATAAACCTAACATCTGTAATGACTATAGGCCAGTGGCATTAACTGCAATTCCAATGAAATGCTTGGAAAAAATCATAAAAAATGCATTAAATTGTCAGACAAATAATGTGATTGATAGTTATCAATTTGCTTATCGGGAAAAAAAGGGGAGTAGTTGATGCAGTTATGACGCTCACGCAAAGGGTGTATGCTCATCTCGAATATCCTAATAACTATGCTAGAATATTATTTTTAGATTTCTCGGCAGCATTTAATACCATTCAGCCCCATCTACTTACTGAGAAGCTAATAAATATAGGAATAAACCCACGACTTAACCTCTGGATCTCGGATTTCTTATATGAAAGAACACAGATTGTTAAATTCAGGGGTAGTGTATCTGAGTCGTTGACTTGTAGCACGGGGGCACCACAGGGGAGTGGTTTGTCGCCCTGGCTCTTTTCGGTATACTCTTCTGATTTTTGTAGTAATATCGATCCAAGTAAATCATTTAATATTAAGTTTGCTGATGATACCTGCCTGATTGGTTTGATTTCAAAAAATGACACATCCTTGTTTTATGACTATGTTGAATCTTTTATTGTTTGGTGTAAGGAGAATTTTCTTGAACTAAATGCAAAGAAGACTAAGGAAGTTATTGTCGATTTCAGAAGAAAAAATAAAACTAATCATGAAAATATTGTAATCGATAATGAGAGGGTGGAAATTGTTGAAA